TGGTGGTGGACGAAATGGTGAATGTGATCGGGAACGAGATTGAGATGGTAATTGTGATAATATATGGAAACGGGTACGTGATGTTGGACGTGGTAAATGTTGATGATGTTGTTGATTTGGATGATACTGTTGGGCATGATGGAATGACCGGGTATTATGTTCAGATGGTAAATGAAATGGATTAATATCAAGTAAAGATGGTAAATTTTTGATATTATTATTATAATTATTATTATTGTAAAAATTGGGTCGACGATAATTATTGTAACGATTATAATGGTAATTTTGTTGTTGTTGATAACGATTATTATTATTATAAAATGGTGTTGGTGGTAAGTATTGACGTGGTGCTGGTGTAGGTGGTAAGTTAATATTGTTTGAACCATTATAATTTGTATAACCATTGAATGTTGTTGTTGTACCTGTTTGAAATTTATGAAAATTGTTGTACTTACGTTGGCCAGCCCCATATAATGCTGGTTTACGTTGAACTTGTTGAGTAAGATGTTGGTAAGTTGGTGGAATTGTTCGTGGTGCTGGTTTTGGATTTAAATATGCAGGACGCATTGGTGGAATATTAATATTTGGTAAATTTGATGATGTTGTTGAGGCATATGAACGTGGAATAATTGTAATTGACGACATTGTTAATTCTTTTTGTGAACTGAGTATTTGGTGATGGTTCAACTTTAAATATGTGGGTGTGATTTAAATAAATAAGCGAATTAACAATGATAATATTTAATTTAGATGGCAGGTAAGTATATAAATAAAGAAATAAATATATTTTAGTAAATGAATAAGTAAATATTAAGAAAAAAATTGTTTTTTATTAGTTTTATGTTTATAAGTTTTTTTGTATAGTTTTTAGTTTGTTTTTATTTGTTTTTTGTTTTTTTAGAATTGAAAAAAGAGTTATCTACTTTTTGAACTTTTTAGAATATTAAAGAAAAGATAAATAAATAAATAAGTGAACTTGAATGAATTTCAAGTGAAAAAACGAAAAATTTGGTTTAAGTGAAAGAAAATGAATTGAAGTAAATTTCTAAGTAAATTTTTAAGAAAAATTGGGCAGAGATTTAGTACTTTTTGAGTAAATAAAGCAGAAAGAAATGAAATTAGTTTAAGTAAATTTTTAAGAAAAATCGGGCAGAGGTTTAGTGTTTTTTGAATATTTTAAGAAATAAATAAATGAATAAATAACAAATAAATATATAAGTTTGAGCAAAGAAAAAATAAGTTTTATTTAAAGAAAAAATTGAATTTTTGAGCAGAGAAAGATGAATAAATGTTTTTGTGTTTTTAGAATTTGATTTTTAAAGAAAAATGAGCTTTTTTGAGATATGAGAGTGAAAATGAGCTTGTTTTTAGAATTTAAGAAAAAAGTAAACTATTTTTGGTGAGAAAATAGCTATTTTTTAGTTTTAAGACGAGAGTGAACTTTTTTTGATTTTTTAATTGATTTTTGATTGAATTGTAATATAATATTTGATTTTTAATGTAATTTTATTTAATTTAACAATAAAGTTAATAAATAAACACAGTAAAATTGTAATAAGCGACGCGTTTCGAATATTCTTCAGGCTATGAATGACTATCTCAAGATGGCTACCGTTCTATTTCTTTTCGTTCTTTCCTCTCGTCCAATGAAAAAATATCTCTCGTCCGCGGGGGATTACTTATGCACTTGGGGTAAAGAGGGCGTTAGCTATCACTACTATTATTATTTTCTCTCATTCTCAACTCAGGGGTGCTCAATCCCTATCACAATAAAAAAATAACACACAAAAATACAAAAAAAGGAAAAAATAACAAACTAACGCAAAATAATAACACACGAAATTACAGAAAAAAGGAAAAGGAAAACAACAAAACGACAAAACAACAAAACGAGGCGACATACAACTAAATAATACTAAAAATAAATGTTCTTTATTTTCTTCCTGTTGTTGTCGTCATAAATAACTAAAATAGAAAACGAAAAATGGGGAGGGGGTATCTTTTCTCCTTATTCTCAACTTATTCTCAACTTATTCTAAATTCTCTACTAAGGCCTTAATCGCTGACTTTGGGGGTTTCTTATGAACTAATATACTCTTTAAATTATCTGTTAATCTATGGGCAAAAATAACTGGGATATCGCTAAGCGGTGTTTCCTCAAATATCTCTGTCCAAATTCGGTGAAATCTTGACCCGAAACGAGCTAAATTTGGTGTATAGGTAAAGTGGAGTAAAATATCTTTGTTAAAGTTAATCCCGGGGTTTTCTTTTTTATTCCATCCTG